CAATATCACATATTACAAATACTTATACAAATACAGCCAATAGATTAAACTCAGCACCATTGTATATTGATGATTATACATATAGTATCAGCTCATTCAGATTTGAAAATGTTAGCAAAATAGCAGCACCATCTGAAAATGGGTAACCTTTATTATCTCGAGCATATGAATCAAAGCAAATAGTAATTATCATGGGTCCCGGTAAAGTGAGAAACGGAACATAAAACGAAACAGAGCGAAACGAAACGAAACGAAACATGGCGAAACAAAACGAAACATGTAATTTGAGAAACGAAACACAATGAAACGGAACAAATTCTGTATTTTAAGGAACGACCCATAGAAAATCTTCCTAAGATCAATGCGGGTTTAGAAGGCCCTTTTGATCGAAAACATCTCACTGTTTGCTTAAAGATCGTCAATATGGACAATGAAGCTCCTTTTCTTAAAGCCTGGATCTGTCTCTTGATTTGTTTTTTACAGAAGATCTGATTTAATCTCGAAGACACATTACATAATGGGCTTAATTTCACTAATTGCTGAACTACGAAAAGAACGCATTACTTACGCTTTATATTTGTCTTTTTTTATAGTCCCACACATTGTTATCGTTAATAATATTATGAACTATTAGTACGTATAACTTTTCAATCGATCACATCTGTTAATATCTTATGCATGTCTTATCTGCTTTGCAACAAAATAAAAGAAGGAGAATGTCATGGCATAAACTGCCATAATAAAAAAATCTCTTCAACTTAAAAAAAGTATAAACCAAAAAAAAAACAAGTATATGTATCCGTAGGACAGTATGACTCGCTTAAAATATCAAATTTTCATGCTCATTGAATTCCTAATTTGGCAAATATTTCAAAAAGACCATTTTATAATGAACATGTGTATAGTTTCAAGTTGACGTGAACACAACTCCATTGTAATTGAATCTACGATAACAAACAACATAAACCTAGTATTGGACGGACGGACTGACGGCAGCACATATCAGAAAATATTATGCCCCACTACCGTAGTGGCATCATAATCCTAATCTCTAAGGAACAAATGGCCAATTTTGTTTCAGGCGTTTATTCAGACGATCCACAGTAACGGCCATTCTAATTACAATGTTTCCTGATTGTTGCACGTGACAAGAAGCCTTAATTTTAGAACAGACTCTAGCAGAGCTGACGCACCTAAGTCTCGCATTAAACAAAAAAGTGTATTAATTGCAACTAATGCACGATGATACCCATGTAAATGGTGGGTTATTTTTTCTAAGTTGAATGGAATATTCGGTGTTGGTAACGAAGAAGACCAAGATCCGGCTTTGCAATTGTAGTAGCCTAAAAAAATACCAAAGGACGCACTGAATCTGACCAGAAAACAGATGGAGTTATAATAACTGATGGATGAATAGTATTCCATGTTTGATTTAAACAGCCATTAACAATAAGAAAACGACGAATGACATAAATGTTAATATTCTTAATGCTGAATATCAATATGTATCATTTTTCTTCTTAATGTTATATGCTGCTGTTTCGTCATTAAAGAAACGGTTGATATGGTGCTTTTTGTCCGCAATTTGCTTTTTTTATATAGAATGTCATGTTGCTATTCGACTCAGGATGGGTTTGTCTGAGAGCTTGACATAATGAATAAACGCTTGTCTATTGTTGACTATAAACTCTAGATGCCTTTCGAGGGTTTGTGTTGATGTGTTGCTGTCTCATTGACTTTCACCTAACATTAAAAAATATAAAGATTGAGTGTGTATATTTTGGTCTGTTTATTTTAATTTTAGAGAAGGCAATATTCAAACTTGACCGTTTACTGTTGCAGTGTTTTTGTCCAATCAGAAGAATATATTAACATCTATCGGCAGTTCATACATTACTCTTATTCCGTTATATTTTTGAGATGATAGTAATGTTCAATAAAGGAAGTTGAATGGGTATAAAATGATACTACTAAATTGATGAAATAACTATATATTGTAACAATCTTGTGTACTTTCAAATGACTTGGACTCCCTTCGTCAGGCCAAACTGTTGTGTGCCAAGGCTTTTCCTCTTACACTCACAATCGTCTTCAGTGATAATGTTTACATGTTTGATTCGTCAAACAAGGAAAACAATGTACATTTACACATCTTTTTACTACATGAAGTTTATAATGAATTTACATCAAATTAATTATCATGGAACCAAACAAAATATTGCAACAAAATAAAAAAAAATCACACAAACAACTCTTTTGTTCATATTAATAGTCACATAAAAATGGGAAACAGTTTAAAGCTTTACCCCATGTGATGTCAGTTTAACTAATAAAGTGTCCGGTATGATATCTTTGCATTCATTAGCGATGACAATATCTGTAAGCGTGAAGTCTGGAAACTTGTTTGTTACGCATGGTTTCTTGAGGTGAAAATATGCGAACTGCCATTTTTTCTTCATTTCACCTGATACTTTGTATTCGCGCTGACAATACACCCTTATGATCATTCTGTTGTTATCTTCGTCTCGTTCAAACTTTCGTGAACAGCCAGTATTTCAAACTTTGTTTTTTCAACTTCCTCAAATTTTTCCAAATCATCAACAACTGCTGCTAATGATTTGGTATCTACAACCAAAGGAGTTCGTTGAACAGATGGTTCCTCTCTGACTGATGTTGCTGGTACTGGGGCTCTTCCGCCGCGTCTTGGCTTAGAAATCTTCTTCTTTCCACCTCTAGTCTCTCCAAAAATTATATCAGATAATGCATTGGCCACTATGTCCTTGCTTCGCCATGCAATATACTTAGCTAAAACGCCCAAAAAGTCGGCTCCAGCCACGGCATATGAACAGATTTTCACGTTGTTGTATACAGGACAGTAATTACAAACGACTCGACCCTTACTAGTAGTAGTAACTAAATGAGGCTTACCAAATGAGTCGAGTGAATGTCTTTGATCTATTATTGTCGGCGGAGATAAAGCCAAAAAACATCGGATCTCACGCTTCAATATTCTTTGATGGGTTGTAATTAATTTTGGAGAGAAGTAACCTTTTGGAACATCAAAAACATTACATGCAATTATTTAATTTACAAAATATATAAATATTACTCAAATTCATAGACGAAAATGAAAAAAAAAAATTCCGTTCCTTAAAATACAGAATTTGTTCCGTTTCGTTGTGTTTCGTTTCTGAAATTACATGTTTCGTTTCGTTTCGCTTCGTTTCGCCATGTTTCGTTTCATTTTGCTCTGTTTCGTTTCGTTTTGCTCTGTTTCGTTTCGTTCTGTTTCGTTTCTGTTACGTTTCTCACTTTACCAGGACCCAATTATCATCACGACGAAATATACTTATTAACTTATTGTAAGACCTGACACATTGTAATGTGAACAAATTAGAATTGGATGTATCTATATCAAATGCAGTTATCAGTGCTGTTCAGTGTTGATATATCAATTAACAATGACTGCTGAGCGCCACTGTGTACAGATTTCATAAAGGGGGGCCTATATAATCAACCAAGGGGAGGGGCGGCCCCCAGCCCCCCTTTTGGATCCGCCTGGGGTGTACAACGACTCCAAAGAATAAATCATCATGTACGAGTACATTAAACTGTCTACCCCACATTCGAACATCATTTGGGACCTCGCTGTGTTGCAAGTATCTTGGGTTTTCAGGCATATTAATTCAAATTGCTCATTGCTGCCTTTTTTAATTTCATCTATCTATAGTCGTAGACGTCCAGCTAGAGGGGTCAAACAAACTATAGTGCACTGAAACCCTTGCCCATAACTAAACCGTGATGCTTGGTGTTTGCTTCCTTGCACACACGCAACCATGTTACTCACCTTGTTTGTTTTCTATTCTTCTAATCAGCTGTTTATCGGCAATTGTCTGTTTTGTTTACATCAGAAATCAATGAAGCGGTGAATGCGCGGGGAAACGAAAGGACATCTTCGTATCAATACGGTAAATTCCGTGATTTGAATATTTTCTAATCAATATGTTAAGGCAAAGAAAAATAGTAGGATAACATTTTTAATCATAGAGCACACGTTTTGTGTATTTACTTTTTAAAATTATAGTTTATGAAGAAATATAGCAAAATATGTTTCAATACGCACTATAAAGTGAAGATTAGATGTATTATTGTTTCGTTTTTGAAAGAACATTATTATCCATAAATACACACCTTTGTACCAAAATTGCAACACAATTTCAAGATAACATAAATTTCATCATCACAGAATGATATTATTTGCTCAAATTGACAGGGCTTCGTGAACTAAATTTGGCTTAAATTATGATAGCAATTGAACACTTCATTATAGTTCCTACCGATGACCTACTATCATGATTTTTATCCGACCCCAGTTACGGACGCGTTGACATATAATGCATACAACTCAATAATAGCCAATCAGACGTTAAGATATCCTTCACTTCCCCCAGAAGCAGCCCGGAAGCAGCTGAGATGCAGCCATTTTATGTTATTTATAACCAATGAGATACCGTTAACAGATTTACCACATTCCAGACGTCCAGCCTCTGACTAATCAGACCGTATCACCATGGTGATACGGTAATTAAGAGTTTAATGAACTCGGTTAAACAAAACAAAATTGTTTGTGTGTTACGACTTCTTTTTTTACAGATTATAATAATTGTGGAGCTTAAAAGATATAATGAATATCTTTAATTAAAAACAAATAGCCACAAACATTTTTTTTTGTAAATGCAAATAGTACTCAGTTTGGATACTGAAGATAAATATCGATGGACTCCTTTGAAAAATATTCCTCATAAAGCTGTTAAAAGAATTGATTTTCATTACCATCCCCGGGAACAATATTTTGAATAAAATAAAATGAAAATGTGTATTGAAACAACCATATTGTGATTTGGTAGCAATATGGGGCGAGTATCAGTGAGGCGAGTTGTCCTACTTACAGAGTGTTCTCTAGGAGGTCCGCGTTATTGTTGTCAAAGTTATTGGAGTGTTTTTAGCAGTGCAAATTCAAGCGCTGAAATGTAACCGATCTGGTTTGTTTTCCTAATCGACCGACACAACTTGGACCAATCTGAGACTACTATAACACAGTCTCAGGACCAATATAATGTATTAGTCACAGGACACAAGTATGAAAATTGTACTGAGATCGCTAAACAATCGAAACAGTTGATAATCTGACTTAGCTTACAGAGGTATGTATATGACATGTCATAACAACGAATAGAGTAATTTTCATCCACATGCCATATCATAAAGATTATCATTACTGTTTCTTTACTTATATGTCTATATGTAACATGCCCTTTATGGGCCGATGATTAGTTTATTGAATTATTCATGTATTCGTAAAAAGGCCATACTGACATGACTGAGGTGCCAGTATAGATAATTATGAAATCCTGAAAGGCTTATTATTCACGTAGGAAGGCGTCACAGCAAAAAAGTATAATAGCCTTTCATACATGTAGCCTTTCAAGACTTTATGCACAAGTTTTCTTAAGATCATGTATTTGTAATTTGAACATTCATGAACATGATGTATGGCATATAAATAAGATTTACTTACTTACTAGGCTGCCTCCATTTGCTATTGTCAGTGCCACAGGTTATCATAAAATATGCACCAAAAATCAGTTGAATTACATCACAGAAACCTATATTGGTGTACAATATATTGCTTTATATTCAGGTGTTACATGCTAAAGTTTGTGGTTGTAAATTATCATTTATATGTAACTGGAGAGCATGAATTTCATTACAAAATTGCTTGTCTCCACCGGGACTCGAACCCGGGACCTCTGTGTTGTAAGGAGGCGTGTATACTGACTGAGCTAAAGAAGTACTTCCTTAGCTCAACTGCTTACGGCTGACTAGTATCTACCACATTTACTAAGGGAAGAAATCCCGTTACACTTCCCCCACCTCAAGAGTCATCATACCATTATGACTCTCACACACATACCCTAGCTAGAATTCCTCTCTAACCACCATGGGTTTTTTAGTTGGGTGCCAAATGTAACCGGAGAGCATGAACTTCATTACAAAATTGCTTGTCTCCACCGGGACTGGAACCCTGGACCTCTGTGTTACAAGGCAGCTCGTATACCAACTGAGCTAAAACAGTACTTCCTTAGCTCAACCGCTTACGGCTGACTAGTATCTACCACATTTACTAAGGGAAGCAATCCCGTCACATATACATAACTACAGATTTTTGTAACCCACTACAAATCTTTACCTAAGGATTAAATATAAATAAGAGGCTCATAGGAGCCTTATTTGCTCAAGAGTAAATTTCAGAAACTTTTGACAAATTTTAAAGCTATAGATAACTTTGTTTTCAGCAATCTCCTTAAGTTTCAAAACATTTGGCCATGTAGTTTTAGACAAGATATTTGCCAAGTCAGAATCAAAAATTCTCTTTGTGACTATGCTTTTCATTCCTTCATATAATAGGACCTATACATCATTCCTACAACCTTTGGGTAATTTGACTAGTAATGTCAAGAAAAGGATGACATTGTCATTTAACATAAACATGGTAAGGTTTCAATGGGAACCAACATTTATTGAGTATCAAAGAGAGTCTGTCAATTTTCAAACCTCTTACCATAAGTTTTAAACATGTTAAAACGTTTTGCAATGTAGTTTCAGAGATATAGATTACAAGTAAAAATTCAATTATACACTGTAACCTTTACAGTTATCCTTTGGTGGCAAAAGAAGAATAATTATGTTTTAGAATTATTTGTCTCTGGTGACATACAAATTCTGGATTGTCATGCTTTCTCAGCACTAGTTGATTTATCACTGTCATTGATTACTGACCTAATACAGTTGTGACAAGGATTAGTTAAAAAAATGGAAAAAGTAATGTTTAATGTAAATGATAATGTATAAGTACATATCAGCAAGTTAAGCTTGGCAATTAAAATTTATCTTTCAAGTTGGCATTCATTTACTTTGAAAGAAATACACACTGTTACTTTTTTAAACATAGCTTCTATGTTCAAGAAGGTTGTGATAACATAAGAATTTCCATAAATTTGTTCTTATGTGCTTTCCCATGCTACAGTTTTATTCTTTGAAACTACATTTGTAATGTGTTTTTATATATATATATATATATATATATATATATAAACAAGTCTAAATTGAAAACAACGTTCAAACCTATGATTGCGTTGGATAAAAACCGCAATTTTTATACATGTGCATGCAAAAACAAATTTCTTGTTAGAGGGGTCTAAATACAGCACAAACAACATTTTCCAAAAGACCAAAAAAGTGAAAAAGTATATTTTAACAAAACGCATTTGACTAACAGGTCGAACAACAAATGTTCTTAAACCCTGCTGACTGCCATTGGCGATTGCCAAATAAACGGATCACAAGGTGTAATAAATGGATCTTAATTAAAAATTTAATACCAAACAGAAAACAATAAACTTGCGGCAAAGATGGTATACCGCAAACAAAGGTGCAAAGATTTTTGTACACAAATATATATATATATATATGAGATGAATATTAAGAGTTACCTCCCATACACCATGGATTTGACTATTTCATAACAAAAAATTAATTTCTGATGTTTCCCTTTAAGAACCATTTTTGTCATGCTCCAAATTTTTTGTAAGCTATTTTTGGATCAGATAACAGTAAAACAACAGAAAACCAAGTAAATTCCATCCATATCACTGGGAGGAGTAGAGCCAGTAACCCCAATGAACGGCCAATGCACACAAATGATACCAAAATGAATGTTCCTTATGAGGTGATGACCAAGTGTTGTTACTTTGTAGCCGATCCATCATTCAAGATGGACGCCAGCAGGGGACTTCGTTTAACATAGGACCCTATGGACAATACATACAAATGTCTTCTTTTAGAGAACCACTGAATGGAATGACACCAAACATGGCATGACTATTCCTTATGAGGTGCTTACCAAGTGTTGTTTCTTTGAAGCCGATCCATCATTCAAGATGGCCACCAGCGGGGGACTTCGTTTAACAAAGGACCCTATGGAAATACATACAAATGTCTTCTTTTAGAGAACCATTGAATGGAATGAAACCAAACATAGTATGAGTGTTCCTTATGTAGTTGCAGACCAAGTGTTGTTACTTTGAACCCAATCCATCATCCAAGATGGCCGCCAGAGGGGGACTTAGTTTAACAAAGGACCCTATGGACAATACATACAAATGTCTTCTTTTAGAGAACCACTGATTGGAATGAAACCAAAAATGACATGAATGTTCCTTATGAGGTGCTGAATAAGTGTTGTTACTTTGTAGCTAATCCATCATCCAAGATGGCCACCAGAGAGGGACTTAGTTTAACATAGGACCCTATGGGAAATACATACAAATGTTTTCTTTTAGAGAACCACTGAATGGAATGAAACCAAACATGGAATGAATGTTTCTTTTGAGGTGCTGACCAAGTGTTGTTACTTTGTAGCCGAACCATCATCCAAGATGGCCACCAGCAGGGGACTTAGTTTAACATAAGACCCTATGGTAAATACATACAAATGCTTCTTCTAGAGGAGCACTGAATGGAATGAAACCAAACATGGCATAAATGTTCTTTATGATGCTGATGAAGACCTTAATACATGTATCTTTATAGATTGAGATCTACTGTAAACTGCAAAATATCAAGAAAAGAAGATCTACACATAAGTGAACATGAGCAAAACTCTCCACAAGAGACCAAATGACATAGGAATTAACAACTAGAGGTCATGGTACGGCCTTCAAAAATGAGCAAAACCCATACTGCATAGTCAGCTATAAAAGGCCCCAAAATGACATATGTAAAACAATTCAAACAAGAAAACTAACAGCCTGATTTATGTACAAAATAATGGAGGAAAACAAATATGATATACAGCAACAAACAACAACCAGTCTAAATTGTTTTTAAAATTTTTACTCTCCATTTGCAAATACCATATATACTCTATTATCTGATTACCAATTTGTGCTCATTGTTGGAAGTTTTCATCAATTTTCACTCTTGGCATGAATTTTAAGGGACAAAAGATACATATTCAAATTCAACCTGAAAAAGAGTGACTAATTTTCTTTGAGCAATAGTGATCTTAATTCTGATATTGAACTTTCAATGACATTTTTAAATGGGAGTAAATTTGAAAATGTTAGATTTTAACTATCAATCCACCACAATATCTCAAGATTGCAACTATACTCTTGAGGACAGCAGAGACATGACAGATGCTTTGAAATAAATGATATATTTACATCAATAATTCCCTGAATATGAAATAGGAGGCCAGCCTTATGGTAACAAGCATCACTCTTTTCTACAGTATCTGATTTCCACTAAGTTCATAAGGTATAAGTATATAGTACAAGATTAAATCAAATAAAGCTGTAGAAAGCGTGTGAAATCACCTGTAAGTAATTACGGGTAGAATTGCACCTGTAGAAAGTGTGTGAAATCACCTGTAAGTAATTACAGATAGAATTGCATATTGCTAACCATTCACTGATTTAATTTGGTATTGATTTGACAATTTGTGCTCATCTTCATTTAATTTATTGTTTGGTGATTTGTATAAAAGGTGTTTGTTTGGTGATTTGTATAACAGGTGTTTGTTTGGTGATTTGTATAACAGGTGTTTGTTTGGTGATTTGTATAACAGGTGTTTGTTTGGTGATTTGTATAACAGGTGTTTGTTTGGTGATTTGTATAACAGGTGTATGTTTGGTGATTTGTATAACAGGTGTTTGTTTTGTATAAATAATAAATGATATAAAGCGATTGATTTTAATAACTTATACTACTTGTATCAAATTTTCAAGCATACTTTTTGAGAGTCAGGAATATATTCATTATTGGTGTCTTTTAATGATATTTAACACTAAAAGATTGAATCTGCAGTTTTTTTTCTCAAAATATTACTATTAATGTGTGCACTGCATTTACAAAAAAATGCATGCCTTGGAAAAATGCAAAAAGACTTTTACCGTTGTTTTTTTTCGGTGTGTAATTCAAACAAATATACAATGATACAATCACTTAGATATACTCAGTCTTCCAAGTTATTATTTATTGTATATCAAAACATAAAATTCACCAAAGTAAACATTGACATAATACATTCAAGAAATACTAGTAAATAATCAGACTTTAACTTTAAAGAAGGATCAATATACATACATTTTCATCACGTTGTATCTGAAAGTAAAATCAATTTTACCAATGATAATTATAAAGGTAATACTTTTGTTTCCTTTTCTTTTAATGATGCTTGGTATTACAATCAATTCTAAAGATAAAAAAAATTCTTTCAGATATACTGGCAATGGGACCAAAAATCAATACAAGCTTTGTATTTTAATGCATATGATTATCACCTAGTGTAGGGGACACAATGCTATTAATACTACAAGATTGTGTTATAATTTCAGGTACAGAACTTGGAGCAATGCGTACATTTGTACTTACCGGTATATAAAAAAGATAAATGAAGCGTTGTAGAAGAACAATGTCATGAAGTTCCATTCTACTCATGGCACATCTGTGACACTGTCGGGGAACAAAACACTAGCAAATCGAGCTGAGGGAATATTTTGCAATGGGATGACCTTTGGTGATCAGCAGGTCAAAGTCAACCAGAAAGTATGTGTAGAATTATCAACCTCAACATCATGGAGTGGTGCTCTAGGTATTGGACTAACCACAAATAATCCATCAAAAATAAACCAATCAGAATTGCCTAGGTTTGCTTTTCGTAATTTAGTTGAGAAAGATGGTTACTGGATAAGAGCAGTTGCAGAAAAATGGATCAAGGAAAAGTCCAAGTTGATTGTATATCTAAGTTCTTCAGGAGCCCTTCAGTTATTTATAGATGGGGATTACAAAGGAGCATGGGTTACCAACATACCTACAGATAAACAGCTGTGGGTTGTTGTGGATATCTATGGGAATACAACCGGAGCCAAGCTAGTCAAACCAGGTCTGTCTAATATTCAGGTGGTCATATATAATACTGTAAAGTTAGAAATTATTACAAATAATGCGACTGATTGTGTATCTCAATAATAAGAACTTGCATTCTGGAATCTGACACATACATTGTATATTTGTGTGCAGCTAGCCTGTAATTGCAATAATTATTTTCACATTATGGTCTGTTATGTTGAAATCGCAATAATAAACGCAGGAAATAATTTCTGAATGTATACATTGTAATACATCTTTCTAAATGAGTTAAATATGATAAAATTTTTGAATCATCTGACATGACCGAATTTTTTTTATAAAATATATTTGGTATTAAGATAATAGTTTTTTTATGTGTTAAATTTTATACTGCATCATGTGCATTATATTTACTACATAACATTTAGGATACCAATTTTATGTTCTCAGATTAAGGTTCTTGTTTTGGAAAATAAAAATCTTCAAAGAGAACCAGCTTTTTAGTGATACTAGAAGTACTTTAACAATATATGTTTTTCTTTTTAATGCTTAGTAATTTCCTTCCATTGAATTTAAAATAGAACTTTACTTTTTCAATTAAAACTACTTGTTACCAAACATTTATAAGAATTGAATAGTAAAAATATGATTTTTTTTGTAGATGAAGCACCAAAAGAAATTCTTGCCAGAGGACCAGATGCTGTTATGGCCTATGAAGAGGCTTGTACCTCAGGGACCAAAGTTATCTACCGCAGTAGGCTAATGTTGGTTGGCCAAGACAGAGTTGGCAAAACAAGCCTTAAAAAATCCTTAATTGGACTAGAGTAAGTCTTTTATAAAAATGAGTGTGAAGAGAGGTTGAATCATTTAAAAAATCAATAGATATAGATAGAAAGCATCACAATCACAATTATCCTTCAGCAGTTACTTTTAATACAAATGTATTATGGCCAAAAGGACCAGTGTGAGCAGTATAGCTACACTTGGTGTCCTGTGTATGTTGTCTGTTATGTTTTCTCATTTACTGATACTTACTAATATACTACAATGTCATGAAGTACTTTAAACATGATTTGCAGGATAACGTTTTAGAAAAACCTTCATCCAAATTCATCCCTTATTCTGATTGGAAAAAAAATTTGGTCACCACTGGAATTCTTGATTCTGAAGAGTCAATTTAAGGTGAGGGTACCCAAAATGCACCTATTTTGACAGTTTTTTTCACCTACGTTTATTTATGATCCAGACGAAAGTTGCCATTCTGTGTTTATTTTGTAGATTTATCATTATTTACTATATAATTCCACCAATTTAATTTTGAATCCATATTGAATCATAGAAAAATGGGTTTGAACTGACCTCCAAACGACCCATGATTCCAACATGAGGCCTACCCAAATTGTATCCATGCTTAAATTCACATCCGTCAAAATCTTATAACTCATGTTTTGTTTTATTTCTCTAAATAATTAGAACAATTTGACAATAGTCAATGCTTACTATTCATTTTTTTCTCGCCTTGACAGAATCAAAAAGCGAGACATAGGTATGCTGTTTAAGGCGGCTGCAGCGTCAAAAATGTATTAGTTTGTGATTAGGTCTAGTTTATGGTGAACCACTAGTGGTAGGTCAATAATATTTGGTATACAGTTGTATTAGCATTGGCACATCTCATTTCCATGGAGATTATATGGCCCTGCCCCCTCATTCATGGTCTATTGACTTTGAAACTTTTGCTTAGTTTACATGTATTAGTTTGTGATTAGGTCAGTTTATGGGGAACCACTAGTGGTAGGTCAATGATATTTGGTATGCAGTTGTATAAGCATTGGAATATCTCATTTCCATGGAGATTATTTGGCTCTGCCTCCTCAGTCATGGTCTATTGACTTTGAACTTTTGCTTAGTTTACATGTATTAGTTTGAGATTAGTTCAGTTCAAGGGTAACCATTAGTGGTAGGCCAATGTTAATTGGTATGCAGTTGTATAAGCATTAGCACATCTCATTTCCATGGAGAATATTTGGCCCCGCCTCCCTCAGTCATGGTCCATTGACTTTGACACTTTTGCTTAGTTTAAATGTATTAGTTTGTGATTAGATCAGTTTAAATGAACTGCTTATGTTAAGTCAATGATATTTGGTTTGCAAATTTATTGGCATTTGCAAGTCTTGTATCAATGGAGATCATATAGCCCCAACCCTGCATCATAGTTCATTAACTTTGAAACTTTTACATTGTTTACAAGTTAATGTTTGTGTTTAGGTTGTATTGAAGGGAACAACTTATGATAAGTCAATGGTATTTGGTATGCAGTTGTATTAGCATTGGCACATCTCATTTCCATGGAGATTGTTTACCCATGTACCTTCAGTCATGGTTCATTGACTTTGAATATTTGCACAACTTACATGTTAAAGTATTGCTATTTTAATTTCAACATTTGCATTATAGAATAACAAAAAGGTGAGAAATTTCTCTATGTTAACAGTTTATTTAAGAAATGGATGCCTGGAACATATTTTAATTGCTTATTTTTAAAAGTTGACTTTTTGTGGACGTTACATAGCTTTTAACAATTTATGTGGACTGATAATTAAAAGACCTTTTAAACATCCTCGTTTGTACTAATATGTTGGCCTACACATGCTGTATTTAGACCCCTCTACCAAGAAATTTGTTTTGCATGCACACGTTTAAAAATTGCGGTTTTTATCCAATGCAATCATAGGTTTGAACGTTGTTTTCAATTTAGACTTGTTTATATTTTTTCGTTTGGGCTTGTATTATATTTGCCTTCGGGTTTATATGATCCGTTCATCCTATTCTACTCTTCAAAATTCAAGAGTCTATCCTAATTGAGGTAAATTATATGGCCTTCCAAATACCGTTTCGATTCCTAACATCACTGAAGAGACATTAATCGTCGAAATCCGGATATGGTGTACTAATTTTTGCACCTTTTGTTTGTGGTATATCATCTTTTCCGCAAGTTTATTGTTTTCTGTTTGGTATTAAATTAATAGTTAGATCCATTTTGTTACATCTGGTGATCCGTTTATTTGGCAATCGCCAATGGCAGTCAGCAGGGTTTAAGAACATCCTTTGTTCGACCTGCTAGTCAAATGCGTTTTGTTAAAATATACTTTTTCACTTTTTTGGTCTTTTGAAAAATGTTGTTTGTGCTGTATTTAGACCCCTCTACCAAGAAATTTGTTTTGCATGCACACGTATAAAAATTTTGGTTTTTATCCAACGCAATCATAGGTTTGAACATTGTTTTCAATTTAGACTTGTTTATATATATATATATATATATGCATGAACTAATTTGTTTACCACCAATTTAGTTATGTGCATAATTTGATGCTGTATGTCCATTTACACCATGGTTAATCTAATTTTCATCATCTTCTATGAAACTACATTTACAACTAGACCTAACTTGCCAGAAATAGTACATTTGTATAACTGTGTATAGAAAATTTAGCCACTAGAAGAAAAAAATTGTTGGTTGCTTTTCAAATTTCTTTTCCTTAGAAACTGCAAAGTTGTTTGACCCACCTGGCCCAAAGGACCTTGAAAAGATTTTGCCATCACTTGATATCTGTCAGTTGTGGACTGTCATATACTGTAAATTCAGAAATTATTGCGAGGTTTTAATTAATGCGACTACTTGAGTATCGCAATAATATGAACTCACATTCTATTATCAAATACATATATCTGTATGTAGCTTTTCCTGAAATTGCAATAATTAAAATCGCATTTTGTTTATTTGTAAAAAATCACAATAATAAATGCACACAAAAATTTCTGAATTTACAGCAGTCATTTTTAAATCTTCCTCTCTGAAACTGCTGAACCCATTCAAACCAAACTTCACATGATTGATCCTTAGGGTGTCTTGATTATAGTTTGTGAATAATATTACTTCCTACATGCTAGAAATTTCAATGGAAGGCAATATCAGCTCTCGAATGCAAATTCAAACTATGTTTTGATAAGTTATTAAAAATAGTATATCAAATATTACTTTGTTAAAAGTAGGAGAACACCCAACATGGTCATAGGAATAATCTGAACATTAAACAATGAAAAAATTTTAAAAAAATTAACACAAACACAGATTGAATAATATTCAATTGTATTATTCTATTTTTCCTTTCGAACTCATTAAATATGTGATACATTGATCTATATATATCATTTTCCATATCTGCCCTGGAACCATCCCCAGACCCATGCTATACATAAGGATAAAGCCCTTAGGCTTAAATGGTAGTGTCTTGCTCATATCATGAGCAATATGGAAAATACAAATTGAAAATCTATTATTTCAAATCTGCACAGAGAATAACATCTAAAAGTTAATGAAATTGTGTATGTATTGTTATCGTACTTTTGGAAATTCAATTAGTTATGAAACAGTTAAGAAACAGTGAAAATTATATGCAATTATCAGATTTCTTTTAATTCATGTAAATTATTCATTATGCCATATTTGCGCAATTGGAAAAAAGTTTACATTAGTTTTATTATGTCAAATTATAGATTCCATGTAATTACAATATTTATATTAAAGTTATTTTTTTCACAAAAATATGATACATGACGTAGTTTTGACATGTCGAAAGGAGTATAATAAAGTCTCTATATTATTTATACCACCACCATCTTGTGACAATGCTTAAGATAAACCTCAACTTGGTTCTTATACAGTCATTTTAGTTATCATCTTACATGGGGGATGAAAGACCTTGGAGAAATGAAAAAAATAGCAACCAAAATGTGTACCAAACTTATTTTTTATTAAATTTAGCTTTTTTTATTACTTTTCTATGAGGTAACTTGAAAATGGTTTACTCAACTTTGATATCATAGATGAACTTTTTTACCAACCAAAATGTCTTTGGCAGCCATTAGCCTTAAGCACAAAAATTGCCCATGTTTTTTTTATTGTCAACACTGCCTCAGCTGGCTGTTGTACATCTGTAGTTAGGCAAGTTACATTATCATTATCTCCTCTGAAATCATTTCTCCAATTTACACCAAACTTGTCAGGAATAATAAGATACAGATCTGATTGAGAAATGATATTTTGCTTATTATTTTAGACACAATGTCAATGAAGAGGCTACAGATGGTATAGATCTGTCATTTTCTTGCTCATTTAATCTGTCCCAAAAGTCGGAATGGCAATCTGCAATCTCTGGTAACAAGAACCACCAAGAACAGTGTAACAGGGACCAGTCAGAAAGTATAGGTAATCTCTTTAATGTTTTTAGAGAATGTTTGTCTATAATAAAACTGCTTATATGTAAAGAAGAAGATGTGATTTTCTAAAGACAACTATTTACAATTAACAGCAGAATGAGGTGGTTACTCTCTAAACCTAAACTGATGACTGTATGACATTTTTGAAAGGGGAAAAGAACATTTTTGAGATGTGATTTTTAGCAAAATTTGATGGGACATGAAAATGTTATATATATCTTTAAGCTTATTCAGATAAGAAAAAATCTTTTCTGTTGAATCAAAGGATACTCAGATTAACCTCCTCATTTTAAAAAATGCTCTAGAAAAGTTGATTGGTTTTTACAGTGCAAAAAAATGATATCTGAAAATTTTTTAAAATAAAATAACTAAAGAAGTAATTTTTATAATTCTTGTTAAATGGATGGCAGAATGGGGAAAAATCATTAAAATAAACAATTTTTTTTAGGAAATTGTTCACAGGTAATAGAAAAAATGCCAAGATTATCCTGAAAAATTTTGCATTGAAAGGCAAAGAAATAATCAGTACTTATCATGACAATATATTGTATCATTGCTTCAAATGGGAAGTCATCCATGAAGATTTTGTTCTGTATAATTTATACATTGAGTAATTTACAATCAATAATTCCACAAGAGGATGTCTGATTTATATAGATTAACATTGAATGCTGTATATATTTTGTTTTTTACAGGAGAATATGATTCTATAGAAGAAGAATATAATTATGGATTAGCTGAAAATATCATTAAGGAAATGACCAAACAGAAAACACACGTCAGAGCTAAAGTATCTAGTAGAGACAGTTTAAGAATTTTGTCTCTTGGTAGAAAAGTAAGAAAAGTTACTACTTACTATTAAAAATTATAAGACTTTCTTTATTTGTTAATCTATAGATATTGTTTTTCCCACAGTGTCAAGTATGAAATAAACTAATCTAATGATACAATCAATCTTACATCTATTGAAAGCTATCTGCCTTTAAGTATGAAATAAACTAATCTAATGATACAATCAATCTTACATCTATTGAAAGCTATCTGCCTTTAATTCTTCAGGGGGGCAGTCCACTATTTAGCTAGACAAATTTTTACAGTGGTTGAAAGTAAAGCTAAAATAATCCATAGACGCTTGAAATTTACATGAGACCAATTCATTAACCATCTTATTGTCCATACATCTCTAAATTTGCAAAGAAGGATAAAAAATGAAGTAGAGACTGCTTAAGAACCTAGATATCTTGTGAAAAATTGGGGACTCATCAAATTAGTATGCAGGAAATTTTGAAGTTGCACTATAGTTATAGTGTGGTCATGTTTTGGCGGCAATATTAATATTTGAAGCTGAATTATTTTTCTTATTTTAGTAATGAATCAATAGAAAACTTTTTATTGTAAATTACTTAATGTTCATACAATGATTATCAAGGCAATACTGTGAAAAATCGTTTTTATTTTTGAGAGTTTTTCTAAATTCCCATATTTAATATTAAACTAAATGGGTGACTTATTTAGGGGTGTGCCTCCTGAATATTTATTTAGAAGATAATTTTTCTTAAGTTTTGTAACTTTAGTGTTGGAAATAAGGAAATTATTCCGATCATGCCCTTATTGAGTAGTTTAAATTACAAACATGTAATTAATTGATTATTTCATTACTGCATATCTAAATTCCATTTCAGAATGATAAAGAAAAACAAAATATTAAAAACATACCCTCATCAAATACTGATCATCCTATCTTAAACGAGACAATAAAGGATGTTCCTGAAAGAGTGATAGAACTTCTTCAAGATATGTTAGAACAACAAGAAGCATGTTTACCTTCAGGAAAAATTCCTAAAAATAGCAAAGATTCTAAAGTTGGGACACCTGAGGAACCTGTAACTAAAAAGGAAGCAGTACAAAAAGTGACATTGAATATTTGGGACTTTGCAGGTCAAAGTGCCTATTACACAGCACATCAGGTATATTTCTATAAAAACGAACTGTTATTTTGTGGTCTTTGTGAGGTTGGTATGTTGTCAATGTCCATATACAAACACCGATATTAATTCATGATATCGACTCCTAATATGCATGAAGCATTTTCCACTGGACATTAAGCAAGCATAAGGCCTGATGTCCATCTTAGCATGAAAAGAATTTAGTATTAAGGAAGCAACAATCCATCAGTGGTAACGGTGATTGATTTAAAAGAGGCTGGCTAATTGGAAGTCAAAAAATGTTCAACACTTTATTTTTGTAATTCTTTTATTTTTACTGATATATGATGAATTTTTAACAAAAATACTGGTACATGTATAAAGCAAAGTAGATAAAGATAGGCATAAGATTTCTAGAAGTTACAATAGAACTTACATGGAAACCTGTCTTAATTGGTTCTTCATTTAATACAGTATAAAGTGAAATAACAAAAATACTGAACTCCGAGGAAAAATCAAAACGGAAAGTCCCTAATCAAATGTCAAAATCAAAAGCTCAAACACATCAAACGAATGGATAACAACTGTCATATTCCTGACTTGGTACAGGCATTTTCTTATGTAGAAAATGGTGGATTAAACCTGGTTTTATAGCTAGCTAAACCTCTCACTTGTATGACAGTCGCATAAAATTCTATTATATTGACAACGATTTGTGAACAAAACAAACGGACATAATAGGTAAAAATGTCAAAAATAGGGGTACAGCAGTCAACATTGTGTTAAAATCTTAATCACTATAAAAACAAACAAATGTGTCAACAAAGAAAAATCAAAAAGGCATATAGACAAAGCATATTAGCAAAAACGAAAGACAAGAATACAAAAATTTACAATAGCACAATAACACAATGACAGGATGTATAAGTATACCACTGCCTTTTACAGATAATAAATGTATTTTTTTAGTATTTAAAATGACATCTACATTTAAAGGCATCAGACAGCACTCACATTGTGATGAGTGCCTTTATATTGAGATTTCACTTTATTTTAAAAGAATGACGATTTATTGAGTTTTATTATAAACAGGTACTTTATAATATTTGTTTATTTTTATTTTACAGGTTTTCTTAACCTTCAGAGCTGTTTACATAATTGTGTTCAATCTGTGCCTTGATTTAAATGATGTAAGTAGTTCATCACAAGTAAAGTATTATTTGTTACACCCCTGTATACTGTAGAAAGAGATCTCAAGTCATTGTAGGTCATCATAAGTAAGTTATTATTTGTTATAACCCTGCATACTGTAGAAAGAGATCTCAAGTCATTGTAGGTCATCACAAGTAAAGTATTATTTGTTACACCCCTGCATACTGTAGAAAGAGATCTCAAGTCATTGTAGGTCATCACAAGTAAGGTATTATTTGTTACACCCATGCATACTGTAGAAAGAGATCTCAAGTCATTGTAGGTCATCACAAGTAAAGTATTATTTGTTACACCCCTGCATACTTTAGAAAGAGATCTCAAGTCATTGTAGGTCATCACAGGTAAGGTATTATTTGATACACCCCTGCATACTGTAGAAAGAGATCTCAAGTCATTGTAGGTCATCACAAGTAAGGTATTATTTGTTATAACCCTGCATACTGTAGAAAGAGATCTCAAGTCATTGTAGGTCATCACAAGTAAGGTATTATTTGTTACACCCCTGCATACTGTAGAAAGAGATCTCAAGTCATTGTAGGTCATCACAAGTAAAGTATTATTTGTTACACCCCTGCATACTGTAGAAAGAGATCTCAAGTCATTGTAGGTCATCACAAGTAAGGTATTATTTGTTACACCCCTGCATACTGTAGAAAGAGATCTCAAGTCATTGTAGGTCATCACAAGTAAAGTATTATTTGTTACACCCCTGCATACTGTAGAAAGAGATCTCAAGTCATTGTAGGTCATCACAAGTAAGGTATTATTTGTTACACCCCTGCATACTGTAGAAAGAGATCTCAAGTCATTGTAGGTCATCACAAGTAAGGTATTATTTGTTATAACCCTGCATACTGTAGAAAGAGATCTCAAGTCATTGTAGGTCATCACAAGTAAGGTATTATTTGTTACACCCCTGCATACTGTAGAAAGAGATCTCAAGTCATTGTAGGGTTTTTTATTTCATTTTTCATACCCCTGCAAACTGAGGCAAGTCAGCTTTAGTAATTTTGAGTTTATTCATTTTTCAATCCACATTTTGTACATATACTTATCCCAAAGAAGTGACTGATTTTTCTCAGAACCTGTAGTAGCTAATGGCATTGCTCATCAGAACTTTGATTTAACTGTTTCTAGGAAAAGGGGTAGTCATCTTGTAATCAGGCCTTCTACTACATCAATAAATGCATTTAGTGAATTTTGATAAAATATTTCTTCAGAATGCCATAGAAATCTAATAAAAGACAAAAACATTATGATTTACTGTCTGTCCATTCATATGTCTGTGTGTCTGTTCATCCAATTTTGCTTTAAAGAATCAAATCATTACTAAGTTTTACATACTGGTTTTGATTTTGACAGTTTTCAGATTTGTCATTCCCGTTAAACCTACCTCCCATTCAATTTTAAATCTAATAACATTAATATGAGATGCAAAACAATTTATGGCAGACAGCAATATTCTCTGGAATACAGGCTCCTGGCTTAAGACATATAGAATGGAGATAGTTCTAACATGATCATGAGTGCTCAACCTGGGATCATGCATGATGGAAAAAACATCATATGAAAAGGGCTTGGCGCATCAGATCCATACATAGCATAAAAACAACTGAACAAAATAACAACAGACAACAGGCATTGATCTAAGAGTACTTACAGTACATTGAAACCTAGATGTGGTAGGATTGCTAATGCGACAATTATCCACTAAAGATCAAAAGATGTAAGCAGCTATAGGTCATTGTATGGCCTTCAATAATGAGCTAAACCCATACTGTATAGTTAGCTATTAAAGGCCCCAGCGTGAAAAAATGTAAAATGATTCAAATGAGAAAAACAGGGTCATTGTATGGCCTTCAATAATGAGCTAAACCCATACTGTATAGTAAGCTATTTAAGGCCCCAGCGTGACAAAATGTAAAATGATCCAATGAGAAAAACAGCTGCCTGATGTATGCTTAAATGATAAAAGAAGAAAACAAATTTGGTAGACAGCTAGCTACCAATGACAACCACTGAAATATCCAATATTACAACTTATTTTTCCAGACTTAAATATCAATCAATGCACCTTCAATAGATTTAATGAAAGTAAGTTATAAGCAGTCTAAAAGCATGACTAATATGTAGTACTTATGGATGCGTACACATTAAAAGCTGAATAGTCTTTCTAGAACATGTTGAGTATTGTAATTTCTTTGATTCCTTCAAATTAAACATATTTTTAGACTGCATTTGTTTACACCTGTCCTAAGTCAGGAACCTGATGTTTAGTGGTTGTCGTTTGTTGTTGTGGTTCATAAGTGTTTCCTACTTTTTATATAGATTAGACCATTGGTTTTCCTGTTTGAATGGTTTTACACTTGTCATTATTTTGGCCCTTTATAGCTTGCTGTTCGGAGTGAGCCAAGGCTCTGTGTTGAAGGCCGTACATTAACCTTTAATGGTTTACTTTTACATATTGTGACTTGGATGGAGAGTTGTCTCATTGGCACTCATACCACATCTTATATCTATTATAACATAATGTTTATATCAGTATATGTTATTACAGGGTGATAATGAGATGAGTACTTTATATCAGTATATGTTATTACAGGGTGATAATGAGACGAGTACTTTATATCAGTATATGTTATTACAGGGTGATAATGAGACGAGTACTTTATATCAGTATATATTATTACAGGGTGATAATGAGATGAGTACTTTAGACTATATGGACTATTGGTTGAAGACTATCCATGCTCAGATCTCTGATAATACTAGATCTCAGGTGGATAATACCAGATTATCTCCCCCTGTATTTATAGTTGGAACACACAGAAATAGTCTGGCTTCAGATCAGGAGATACAAGAAATGATGGTATAAACACTTTTAATACCGTTTTTTTTAGAATTGAATTATGGTAATTATGTTAACGTAAATGTAATCTTGTGTATAATTTAAATGGACAATTAACCATCATTGAAAAGTAGAATAACAAAAATTCTGAATTCGAAAGGAAAATCCAAAAAGGAAAGTCCTTGATCAAATGGCAAAATCAAAAGCTCATACACATCAAATGAATGGAAAACAACTGTAATATTCCTGACTTGGTACAGGGATTTCCTTATGTAGAAAATGGTGGATTAAACCTGGTTTTATAGCTAGCTAAACCTCTCACTTGTATCACAGTCCATTCCATTATATTGACAACAATGTGTGAGCAAAACAAACAGACACAATAGCTAAAAATGTCAAACATTTGGCAGCAGTCAACATTGTGATATAATCTTGATCACTATAAAAATAAACAACTATCTCAACAAAGAAAAACAAAATGGCACATAGACACTCTATAGACAAAGTACATAAGCAAAAATGAAAGACAAGAATACAAAAAATGACCATAACACAGTGGCGGGATGTATAAATACCGAGCTACGCCAAAATGAAGCTGTCCCAGAACATTTGTTTACAAAAAGTCATAAATTCACCTACTGTGTTGTGTTTTGGTAACCCAATATCAGTAAATTACCTGTTACAATGATAAAAGGCATATAATGGTTTTTTTTTTGGTTTTGTAACAGGGAGGCCAATTTCATAATTTTACTCATCTCTCCTCAGTGCTCCAGTCAGTAAAAATTGTTATGAGAATATAGCCTACCCATGGTAAAATCTCCAGAAAAACAATAAGTTTGTTTTAGAGTAAGAAACTACATGTCATCTGTCCAGGATTTTTGATATTATAATGAAAAACAAATTTTTTGATGAAAATGGATTAATTTGCAATCTTACATTTGTCAAGAAGAACAGTTGACACTAAATAAAATTAAATATCTAAAATATGCTACTTCAACTCTTCCCATATCCATGATTTTTAAAATGTTATATTTTGTAAAGTTTTGATTGTTACTTTAGGTTGAGGAGAAGTTTACAGTAATACAAGAGTTTTTGGTAGACAAACCTTATACTGAACATATAATTACACCATTCATTGCAGTAGAGAATAATTTAGATACTGGAGTTGATGATCAGGTTAGTTTATCAGTCATTAGGTTTTAGTAATTACATGCTTTTACCAACAATCAAACTGTTATTTAGATGACAAAGTAATGTTGTGAAGTTGTTAAAACAATTAAATTAAAAACAAAATAACATGTCTAAAGTACAAAATAAAGACACCAAAACTTTAAAAACACACATCAATAAAAGCTAAAAGACAGAAAATAACAACCCAATATTTTGTCCTGAAAGGTGTTGAACAGGGAATAACAATATTCCGATCACATGTACACAGAATGCCAACTCAATTGGACAAGACAGTACTTAATCTTTCAGTGTCTGAGTAAGCAGATAATTGGATAAGACAGTACTTAATCTTTCAATGTCTGAGTAAACAGATTCATAACAAATTGGAATAAGGTGTTTATTCTCAATCATTTTTTTATCCCTGAATTCCAAAGATTGTTTACTAGTATTTTGTAAACAATCATACTTGTATACTCTTTATTTAAGATTTATCTTGGCAACTTATATGTGATAGATAGATATACAATAAAAGGTTTATTGTAAAGATTTGCCCATTCATGATTTTTTTTCATTAATTTACCAATTTTCTTTGTGAAAATAACAGAAAATTTAAGACTTTGTCATTGTACTGTTGTTACAGTACACTTCAAAATAATGCTTCATAGCTGCAGAAACGGTCAAAGTTTATTGAAATCCTTTTTATACTTGTTAAGTAATGATAAAAACAAATTGGGAATTTCCACTTTCAAAGTCTGCACTTGAAATTTCATCAAATGAATCAAAGTATGTGTTTTCACTTAGTATTTTTTGGGAATTCGATATGAATAATGTACAAAAGCATTACTTTCAGCATAAATTTCAAAACCAAAGTGCTTTGATCGAAACATATGTTTGATTTCAATGCATACAACACATGTTTATGGAGAAACCTTCATCAGGTATCCTAGAGATTAATTTTGTAGAGCCAAATATATAAAACATTTGGGTTGGGGAACATAAAAACAAATATGACCTAAAGGTTTACTTTGCCTAAGGGAGTAAAAGTATAATGAACTATATAAAGATAAGGAGATGTGGTATGATTGCCACTGAGACAACTATAACCAAAATTTCAAATCACATGGATGTAAGCAGTTATTTGACACTGTAAGGCCTTCAATAATGAGCAAACCCATACTGTATAGCAAACCATAAAAAGATAAAGACATCACAAAAATGTGTAGCAATTCAAAGGAAAAAAACAATGGCATGATTTATTTTAAAACAGCATATGAAAAACAAACATGATAGACTTCAACAGCTGTGAAAACTTATGTATTAAAATTATCAAAGAAACTCATCTGTTTACATATATTGTCCCTGAAGTTTATTAGTTTTGCATTAACTTGGCTGTGGTCTTAGGAACTAGTCATTTTACAATTGATTTTAACTGCTTGATCTTTATCAGAAAAAAACCCACTTATAAACATGAAATTGATGATGATTTGTTTGAAGTTTAATTGTGAGGATTATTAATTAATAATGAAGTGGTGAAATATATCCCAAGTTATCAATAAAACTTAGAAATGTTTGTTGTGTAAATAATCATATAAGAATAAAAAAATTAATTATTTATTCCATTGAGTGGAGATACGTGACAATATACTGATGAAATCAAAAAATGTCCTGTAGTTTTTCTAAGAGAAATAACATGATTCCCCTGTCTTGCATATATTTTTTTAGCTTAAGGATGTAGTCAGGTGAAATTAAAAAAAGATCTGGAATTAAAAAAATTTATACTATAAATCAGAAGAGCATTAGTAAAGGAACAAAAAAAGCTAAAATTATTGATAGGTTATGGAACTCCTTTTTGAGATATTTGATTTAAAAAAAATGACGGGAAAAGGCTGACTTGGACTTTTACCTTATATTTAGCAGTAGTATTATTTGGGTCTCAAATTTTAAGAAAAGAAATCTAGAATCTGCTTAAATTTTGGTAGTGACCTTCTATGAGCGATTGAAGTCTTCTATGAAAAGTAAAGTGGGTGATATTGGGCAAAATATTTTACCCTGTAACGTAGGACAAAACACAAGGAGTCCAAACATCTGACAAAAATTCCTAAACCTGACTACATCCTTAACATATCTTTCTATAGTAGTTCTTAAGTAGGATGTATGAAAATTTCAGTGATAATTACTTACATTTACTGTGATTGCATCGGGAAGGGGGGAGGGGGGGGGGTATAAAAAAATCAGAAACCATAATTCATGTCTGGTTTGCTGCTCAATGATAACTTACCAAGTTAGAATTTGAATATTGTAAATTCAGAAATTTTTTATGATGAATTAATTTATTCTACAGTTACCCTATTCAGAGAAAATTTTAGTTACTGTAGGTGTAATACCACCAAATCATAGTACGTCACATCCGGTTGCATACGAAAATAGGTCGAAAAAAAATATTCCCTTGAATTTGACAGTTGTAGGTAATTTATCCTACATTTCATTGCAGTAAAACATTTCTGAGTCATAAACATATATCTTGGGTATTTCAAAGCACCATTATTTCTTTATTTGGGGTTTCTATAGAATATTTTGGAAACTTGAGGTTACATGGTTACTAAAGCTTGTACACAGGTTAAAAAAGGGGGAAAATTTGATTGGTTAACTTCCAGTGATGGTTATTTTCTTATATGCAATGAAATGTTATGTGAAATTTTTTCTATAGTACTGGACAGGATAAAACTTTACTCATGCCAAGTATTTCTTTATTTGAAACAAAGATAAAATCTGCACAATTTTTTGAAAAGTGCAAATTTAACAAAGACTAATAGGGGAAAATCAATGGTGGTATTACACCTAATATGGGAAGCTGTACATGCACCTTTGACCTTGTGAGTACTCTCATGTGTTAAAATTTCTTGCTATTTAAGTGAAATATTACAAATAATGAAATATTCTGAGTGGATTGAGTCTCCAAAATACATTTTATGAGAAAATTTCCTTGAAATAGGACTTTACCATGAATATTAGTTGACAGAACAAGCCATACTTAGAGTCTTGGGGAGCTTTTTCTCCTTATTTCTTATATTCTGCTATACTAGAAAAATTTTCCTAAGAAATACTTTAATAAATATATAGTTTTAAGTAAATGAAATTATTTTTAAAGCAGTAACAACAAATTATTCACCAAAAGAGAAGTTTTTTATGTCCCTCTCTGGAACGCGGCGTAAATTTAAGTTTTACGCAAGGACTTATTGAAACCTCCTTGGAGACAGTAAACTTTTATACGGATAGTTCAAGCAGCTTGAATACTTCAATTAATCATTTATAATAACATTTCTATCATAAATGAGTGAAAGTTACCCCAAAATTTTTATTTATTGGCCTAAAAAAGTAGAAATTTTGAGGAAATGAGAGGTATAAATGGACCAAAAGAGACTTTATAAGGAAGAATAAGAGGTCCATTAGTAGTATTTATCATCCTAAAGTCATCTTTTGTATCATATTCAACTGTTTGTAGGCAGATGAGATAAATATTTGATCATTTATTGGTCCACACTATATTCTATCATGATGCGGCTTGGTTTGAATTTTTCGAAGAAATTTTGCTCGAATCGCTGTAGATGTTGTCTTACATTATACTAGATTTTTATACGACCGCAAAAAAATTTTTGTGGTCGTATATTGGTATGACGTTGGCGTCGTCGTCGTCCGGCGTCGTCCGAAGACACATTGGTTTTCGCACTCTAACTTTAGTTTAAGTAAATGGATCTCTATGAAATTTTACCACAAGGTTCAATACCACAAAAGGAAGGTTGGGATTGATTTTGGGGGTTATGGTACCAACAGTAAAGGAATTAGGGGCCAAAAAGGGGCCAAAAATAAGCATTTTTGTAACTTCCAGGCATAACTTGTGTGTTAGTGTATGGATCTCTCTGACATTGTACCACAAGGTTCCATATCACAAAAGAAATGCTGGGATTGATTTTGGGGGTAATTGCCTCAAAATTTTAGGAATTAGGGGCCAAAAAAGGGGCAAAAAACAAGCATTTTTCTAGTTTCATAACAATAACTTGTGTGTAAGTGTATGGATCTTTCTGAAATTGTACTACAAGGTGCCATATCACAAAGGGAAAGCTGGAATTGAGTTTGGGGGTAATTGTCGAAACGTTTAGGAATTGGGGGCCAAAAAGGGGACAAAAAGGGGCCAAAAATAAGCATTTTTCTAGTTTCCAGACAATAACTTGTGTTCAAGTGTATGGATCTCTCTGAAATTGTACTGCAAGGTACCATACCACAAAGGGAAGGCTGGGATTGATGATGGGGGTAATTGCCTCAATATTTTAGGAATTAGGGGCCAAAAAGGGGCAAAAAACAAGCATTTTTCTAGTTTCAGGACAATAACTTGTGTGTTAGTGTATGGATCTTTCTGAAATTGTACTACAAGGTTCCATATCACAAAGGGAAAGCTGGGTTTGAGTTTGGGGGTAATTACCCTAAACGTTTAGGAATTTGGGGCCAAAAAGGGGCCAAAAAACACATTTTTCTAGTTTCCAGACAATAACTTGTGTTCAAGTGTATGGATCTCTCTGAAATTGTACTGCAAGGTACCATTCCACAAAGGGAAGGCTGGGATTGAGTTTGGGGGTGATGAATCATAAGGGGGTTCAAAAAATTTGGGGGGGGGATTTTTTTTTTTTTTCCTTTTTTTTTTCTTTTAAAATTTTCCATTTTAAGTTGGTTATTTCTGATTTATATTTAAAAGCAAATAATAATGATATGGAAGGAGATACACACCAAACAGGATGTGTTAATTATTATATAATAAGTATTGTGCAATAGCAAGAAATAATCAATTGCGCAGTATTGCACAATAGCAAGAAATCTTCAATTGCACAGTATTGCGCAATAGCAAGAAATCTTCAATTGCACAGTATTGCGCAATAGCAAGAAATATCCTATAGCACAATATTGCGCAATAGCAAGAAATTGTCAATTGTACAGTATTGCGCAATAGCAAGAAA